TCAGTCCCCGGTTCTGCTCTGGGACTGCTTTGTGTCAGGTTGGGTCTGGTTGGTACTGTAGGTCAGTGACCTACTTTTCAGTTGACGTATTTTGAGGACCCAAGATGCACCAACTTACAAAGTTTTATGATCATAGGCCTTAAAATGTCCAAATTATGCCTCTAAAACGCTTTGAAATCGAATGCCTGCAAAGTTCAAAAAGTAGGTCACTGTGACCTACTTTTTAATAAATATGTTTTATGGCCCCAAGTTGCAAGAATCTTACAAGATTTAATGAATCTAAACCTCTCAGTATTCGAATTAATGACCTTAATTGTTTTGAAAAAGATTAGCCATAAAATTCAAAAAGTAGGTCAAGGTGAACTACTTTTTAGTCAACGTACATGTACTTTGAGGACCCAAAATACATCAGCTGACAAAATTTGATGATCATAGGCCTTTAAAAGATAACAACATAGGCAATATCATCTATAAGCAGTGGCAGTTGGCAGTAAGCAGTTGCCTGTCATACATCGAATTCCATAGGATCGGTATGTTATCTTCAAATTTCTGGTCAAAAAATCTTCAAATTTCTTCAAAATATCTTCAAATTTCTGGTCAAAATATCGCTAAAAACAAAGATTTGAGATAAGTATTGCAATATTATTTTACAATGATGTTTATTTAAGTTGTATGTATATAAATAATCTAATTGCATTGAATTATAAAATTTTACCAGCGTACTCTAAAGTACCATATCGTACTCTGTTTAGTAGAACATATATACACAGCTGTATAATCGATACGGGAAAATAGTACTAACACATCTTGTCCCAATTTTGAAAAAAAAATAAAAATAAACTCATGCATTTTTATCCTAGGCGGCAGTTAACTTGTCATTCTGGTACAGTATGTTGTTCAGCTTTATCAAAGTCATCTATGACGTATTTTTATAAGTTCGGACTAACTTTCTATTTGTTTTATTACTTTATATAAAGATAGGACTTTCCTGTAAATTACACAATTTAATTAAATGAATCACGTTTCAAACATATTAGAAATTTATAACAATAACCTATTTATTTACCGACTCCGCATTTAAATAACAGACATAGATTAAAAGTCAATTTAACTAAGGAAATATGAGGTTATTCAGGTTCAAGATCGGCGAAAGTTTTAAGTTGAACGTAAAAAAAAACATCTAGGCCTATCATGTTTATCTACAATCCATCTCGTGTTTTTATTTTTTAGCTCAGATACGCCATATATAGCTTTAACTTTTGTCAAAGATGACTATGAAATAAGATAATAACATGTATAAAGTAAGCTAAACAACAACTGTATTTTCTGGATGCTATAGGTTACCTGACTTTAGTTCGATCTTATTATCATGCTAGAAGATGTTCAAATTTTGAAACTGATATGAATATATTAGTAGTTAAATGTACATATAAATCATGTACGAGGGGTGATCAAAATGTTCGCGAACTATCTCCATAATTACAAAACCACAATTCAGATCAGAATGAAATTTGACACACATATAGTCATACATATGTTCTGTAAATAGCAGATGTTATGTAATGTTTTGCTCGATGTTTGCGACGTCACAATGTGAAAATGACGTCAGGTGACTTGTTACAATAAATGGTTCACTCAGTCGTACTCGAGCAACGAACGGCTGTAAAGTTTAACGTATATCTTGGAAATCCCTTTGCAGAAGCATATAATATTTTGTACAAGGTTTATGAAGACAAAAGACTTGCCAGAGGTTCAATCAATAATTGGATTGATTGTTTTAGTGAAGGAAGGGAGATGGTTAAAAATGGTGTTTGTTTTGTTGCCAAGTGAAAGCAAGCTGAGGAAGAGATGTGTCCTTAGTAGAGCAATTTGATATAAAAGATCGCCAAGTTACAGTTAGAAAAATAGTTGAATATCTTAACATTAATATAATTATTAAATCCTTGAATTATCGTTTACTTTAAACTTTAAACATATCAGATATGATAAAAAGAAGGAGCCCATACTATATCCATATTGGATAAACGACGTTCCTAAGACAGAGATCTCGGGTTGTGATGGTCGCCATGCTCATTCTGGAAAAGGATATAATTATCTACCCATCTTATTTCCAAGAGCCATTTCTGACAAATGGACTGTTTTGGTTATAAAAAATAACTTGCATGGTAAAAAATATAAGACTCGGAAAAATCATTCAACTTCTTTGAACAGAACGCTACGGAGCATGTCACGTGACCGCCTGGATCACGTGATTCGCGCATGGGCAGAACGGTGGCAAATGTGCATTAAAATCGGAGAGGACTACTTTAAAAAAATAATGAACACTGAAACCTAATTTTATTTCTTTTATGGAAGTAATTCAATTAGTTCGCGAACTTTTTGATCACCCCTCGTATAACAACTTCCAGATCGAACACAGGGCAAAACGCTGTAGCTGGGCCCTAGCTAGGTCAATATTCGGCAGGGTCAATTTTCAACGCGTTTATGTCGAAAGTGCCGAAAGATAAATTACCAAGATGTTAAACTAGAGTGTTCCAAGGAACGCATGTGTCGCCTGCTTTGTAGATTAATTAAAGGTGTAAATAAATCTAAGAGTGGTCAATTTGTTTTATTAACTATAAGCATACTAGACTGATAGTTCATGCATTTGCATGCAAAGAAAAAATGGCACCCATGGATAGTATAAGACTGCGATAGAATCTGACAATCAAAGAAAATATGGCTCCATAATTAACCCTCAAATGAATAATTAAATTGAAATTATTAGAAATAACTGTCATTTTATTAATACGTGTTTCTAACAATCCTCCAAAAGAAACTTCAGTCTGTCTTTAATGCAATTGTCAGTCTACACGATCCACTTTTGAATACCGACCCCGATGTATTTTCATGGAATTTAAATGCAAGTTTGTGCGGTTACTGAATATCATACAGTTTCAAAGTACTTTTTCATGAGCTAAAAGTATTTCCAGTAATCATTGAAAAGAGATTTCAGTCTGTTTTTATTGCATTTCTCAGTCTACACAATCCATTGTGGAATACCGATTCCGATGTATTTTCATGGTATTTAAATATAAATTTTTGTGTGGTAACTGAATATAATACGGTTTCAAAGGACACTATCATGAGCTTATAAACATGTATATTTCCATTTCTATTTGTTTTCTCTGTGATAACTCTTTGAAAGTTAGGAGAGTTGATTTCTTGATCATTCCACCGGAATGCAAATTTCGCCAAGCGAAAGGTCAGGAGCTAAGAAGGCCTAATATGCATGTAATTCTCGTGCGGCTGTTTTGTGTCTGACTCTAAGGAGGCCTAATATGCATGTAACTCTCGTGCGGCTGCCTTTGTGTTTGACGTCAGTGGGCGGGGACTATTGAAATTGACATGTGAGGCCTCGTGTAATTTAAATCTATTAGTCTACATTTTTGAAATCTAAATTTACAATTTTATTTCACAATGAAATGGAAATATAAGGAATGCATAAATTATCCCACGTTTCCAACTATCGTTGATGCCCTGGCATACTCGACTAACTAAACATTGATTCCTTAAATAAATGCTGATTATCTAAACCCGCCTCTCAAAATTCATAAGTTTAATTAAACTGCCCGAGATGTTTTTTGCAAAGTTAGTCAAAGGTCAAGGTCAAGTGAACTGTAACGCTGGTGTTTTTTAAAATATGTTTTATGACGATCAGTGAAGATGCTAAATAGCAAAGACTTACATTTTAAATGTGAAAAATATGCTGTATATTTGCACTATTCACTTTTTTGTAAAATAGGTCAGAGGTCAAGGTCAAGAAATCGGTAACCATGGCAATTCACAAAAGCCATAGTTCCAAGTAATATATGTGCAAAATATCAAATCCATATCTCTTACAGTCCTTGAGATTTAAGGTGTGAGAGACGGACAGACAGACAGATGGACAGACGCCGGGTAAAGTGATCCCTTAGTGCCGCTCTGCCCTGCAGGCGACACAAAAATTCCACGACATTTGGTCTCAATTTTCAACGTTTAAGAGTCATCCCTGGTTCAATATTCAATGTTGAAAAAACCGTTCGCGGTAGCTCAGTCGGTAGAGCGTTCTCTCCGTGATCGGGAGGTCGTGAGTTCGAATCTCGGGTCGCCCGCGTGGCGCAATGGTTAGAGCGTCTGCTCTAGAGTCGCGAAGTAAGGAGTTGATCCTTACGTCGCGGGTTCGAATCCCACTGTGGGACGTGGAGACCGGTCCTTCGGATGAGACCGTATACACCGAGGTCCCGTGTCGCAGTAGGTGCTGGCACGAAAAAGATCCCTCACTGCTCAATGGCCGTAAGTGCCGAGTATAGGACAAAAATTTGCAGCTCTCCACCGGCAAGTGGTGGCGTCTCCATATGAGTGAAAAATTCTCGAGAGGGACGTTAAACAACATACAATCGAATCTCGGCCGCGACTGACCTAAGTCGATAAAAAATGGGTAGCAACTGTTTCTTCGCTATGCGCTCGGCACTTTGAAGTGAAAGTTGAGACCTTAAAAACCGCGGCCCCGTGTCACGGGAGGCGTTGGCACGATAAAGATCCCTCACTGCTCAATGGCCCTAAGTGCCGAGTAAAGGTCAAAATTTGAAGTCCTTCACCGGTACATGGTGAGGTCTCTATATGAGTGAAAAATTCTCGAATGGGACGTAAAACAACATACAATCAATCAATCAATCAACGTTGAAAAATGAACCCCGGGTAAATTTTCAAATCGGGTCAAAATACCACGAACTACGCTGGCCGAGACAAACCGCTCGGCCTGATATCAGGGTCGAGATCAAAAGTTCTATATGACTCATTACTTTTGTTAGAGACTTTAGTGTGTGTTAGCGCGACGGAGTGGTTTGTAAAATAAAATTGCGTTTACTTAGTGCGACGGCTTGTTGTGAACAACGCACCGTCGCGTTGTTAAACTTTTGTAAATGGCCCTATTTGGACACCATAGTATAGCTTTATTGATAAGGGACGATAACTTGTGTTTGTTTTGAAAAATCGGAAGGCATGTGGTAGATCTACCAAAATTTTGACATCATGATCATCTGATCTACTCTCAACGTTTACATTTAAAATGGAAGTATTTCGGATGGTAGAACTTGGAACTGAGATCGTCACGTATCTCATGATGTTAAGTGCCATGTAAGTATCTTATGTTGTTATAAGTCAGTGTCATTAACGGCGATTGGTGTAACGTTTTACGGCTGTTATATACGGTATACAAAGGCCTGTATTGTTACATGGCCGTAGGAATCGGGGAGGGGGAGGCACGGGGGGGGTGTCCCCCCAATAATAATTTTTGGTAGTTGATAGTGCCCCCCTCCAATTGAAAATGTATGGTATGTACCCCCCAAACTAAAATTGTTTCCTACAGACACGTATGATATATACCCCCCCACCAATACCACCCCCATACATGCATATATATTACACACACACACACACATATATATATATATATATATATATATAAATATATATATATATATATAAATAATTATAATTATAATTATATATAAAATATATATATACCCTGTCAGTCAAATGTCAGTGGGTTGTCCTTCAGTAACAAATGTGTCATCTTATCGTTCAAAGTCAGTGAATAGTCACTTCTCTTTGCTGATAAAGGATGCATGGTTGAGCTGTCCATTTTTAAAAATCAACAGAAATCCACTAATGAGGGATAAATAACGAAACATGTAATGAAACTTAGTTTACATAATTACTTAATGTAGAGCATGCAGAGACTGTAAAATAAATAACTGTCATTTATGTCTCAGACATAGAGACTGACTGACTCAGTTTATATTTTATATTAAAAATTGGTGTTCATATTCTATGTCAAATAAAAAACTACAGCATAGTGCCATAAATGAGTCAACTTTTTTAATGACTGTCATTTGAATCATATAAAATCAACTTGCCTGAATTCCTAATGCCAGCAGCCTCTTAAATCGTGTTCATGTTCTTCTTCACCCTATAACTATAGTCCTGCTGGACACTTTATTACTGGTGACGTAAATATAGTTAATAATGAGGACCTTAGATCACCAATTTTAAAAGGTCCTAAATATAGGGAACCCCGATCCTTCAAATGGCGTCGGAATTTCATAAATAATATGGATTCTGTAGAGGATTACGCCAGGCGCTGGGCCAGACATGCATGAAAAAGAAGACCTTGACACTTTGTCTGTCTGAGAATGGATTAAATGTATCAGATGTATGTTAAAATCGCACATTAAGAGCCATTCTCTGTAATGACTTGAACTTTTGTATAGGAGCTGTGGCACGCATAGTCTCAGAATTTCTCCAAACTCTCTATGATAAAAGTCTTTGATACCCTAAACTCAAATCAGGCAAAAATTAGTTGCTACGTGTCATGGTTACCATAGCAACATGTCCTAAAGTTTGAAAAATGGCATTTTTCAACATCTTCAGAGTCCCACAGTTAACGTTTGCAGCAAAGCAAACAAGTGGCAACGACTGTTTCTGAAAGTTGAAGGCCTGGTGTCTTAAATGCATGATAAACATGTTTGGTAAATCATCTATAACATACGTTACTATGGAAACAAAGTATTCAAAAGTAATAATTTTGTTCATTTAATTTTATAAAGTCATACACTTAAGAATAAAAACAATTATAGGTTGAAATGCAAGCAAATAATAGAGAAGAGATCCTTGTAACATATACCAAGGACAAAATATGATATTCCTTATAGGTTGGCAATGGTTGCCATGGTTTTAATACCACAAACGGATTTTAAATTAACTCTCTTAGTGTTTTAATCTTATCCTTTCTTTTTAAAAAGCATATTTCTATATAACTGATGATCAATTTTTAAAGGCCTTGATGTGACCCTAATTTTCACATTTCAAAAAATTCAATTTCAATTCTTTAAATAGTGCGTTGCTATGGAAATAAGGCGAAAAAACATGCATAAAAATCTGAAAAATACTCTGTTTCCTTGGATACGTACCGTTGTATGTAGATTCCCAAAACTTTAATGATTGATATTTGTGAACAACTAACCCGACTTTCAATTTTGACTATCACCCATCTCAAACTGGATGCAAAAAGCTGGCAAATAGGGTCCAATATTGACGAAAAATTAACAAAATCGAACATTTTCTCTTCTTGGTAACCATAGCAACAGTGTTGTATTTTTCAACAACCTTTATCAATATATGATATTCAACTTTAGTTCTACGAGATAAGTACTATTCAAGGTGATTCAAATAATATTTTTCTTGATTAAAAGGTTAGTAAATTCCTAAAGCAGCAAAAAAATATCACTTTAAACAACTAGTATGTTGTTTCCATGGTTACACTGCAAAGTAACAATTAATCTCAATTTTTCTTATGTTGTCGGTGTTGCAAGGTCCTAAGGATGCGTATGCGCCAGTCATGAATTTTATTGTTTTTCCTCACAATAGTAGCATTAACCCAATAATAGCGACAGATTTTGCATGGTGACACTGTGTTACCATGGCAACCATGAAAGTTATTTTTAGAATAATATTGCCAATACCTAATTACATGAGGTCAAATATTTTTCATTGTTTTTCTTACGTTGTTGATTGAGTTTGATCATGTAACATCTATCATTTGTGACTATAGACCGTTTTTCAGCATTTTTCAGCATCTAAAATGTATTCCAAATGTACCCATGGTTACCACTTACTTAGAGATAAATTCTAAATAGTTTCTTTATAGCGTAAGTGGCAACAAGGTGTCAGGTTTTTGTGAGAGTGGTTTGTTTGTTATTCTTAGTCTTTATTAAGGCTTAATAAAGATTTAAAGTAGCTGAAAATCTCAATTTTTTCAACTTTTCTGGCTGTTACCATGGCAACCAAGATACATAGCAACGAAATTTTATTTGATATATGTTTCTGGTGTCAAGTTGTAATAATGGGCAAAGTTTCATCAAAATCGGTGACCATGCGTGGCAAAGAAGTTTAAGTGGTTACAGAGAATCGCTATTAAAAGATTGAGGGGCAATATGAAACCATCTATCCTTCTGTATTCAATAATCCAGAGGTGAAAAAAGAATTAGATAGATTACATGATCAGTATGTACTGGTCCCTGCTGACAAAGCAGGTAACAACATTGTCTTTGTTTGTAAGGCTCATTATATTAAATGTATTTTAGAGGAACTTGGATTTAATTCTACAAGTGCTGCAGGTAATCCAACTTTTACTCATTGTTCTCTTTCTAAGGAAGAAATTCTTCTGTAACCGGAAGTAGAACTCTTAAATGAATAAATTAACAAAGTTACTAGCCAACTTGGCTTAAAGCAGTAAACTATCTCCAGTTATGTCTGTCAACCCAGGTAAGGGGATATCTTAACTATGATCAAGCTAAATGAAAACACAGTTGCAAGTTTTATAAATTTAATAAAGTGAGAATTAACCTTTGCAAGTAATAACAAATAATAAATAATAGTCAAAATTTAACCAAGAATAAAGGGAGGAATGTGGAAAACTTATGAAAATAATTTATGTCCCTACTGAGCTTCCATACTTATGAAAAAGGTCAAAAATCCTATAAAAACAATGAGTTGGGAAAATGTAAGGGAAATGAGCTACATCACCCAATATGAACTCTACTAATCAACACTCTAGAGTTGAACTTAAAATAATAATGCTAAATCAGGACTCTAAAAATATCTAACCCAGAAAAATAAACAACACCAAAAATAAACAAGCATTCTGAGAGTATTGCATTAGCAATACTTGTCCCCTACCGGCAAGTGTAATCTGATTCCCATTAAGAATTGAAAATGCCATAATTCCGTCAAAAATCAATGAAGCGGGACATAATGCAAAATTGATCTGAAACTCATCAAGATACACTCACATACCAAAAATCAGCTCAATATCTGCAAGCGTGTAGGAAAAAAGTGCGGAAAACCAAGTGGGACAGACTGACAGACAGACAGAGGGACAGACGGACAGACAGACAGACAGACGGACGGACAGACTCAGAGGAAACCTATAGTCCCCTCCGGTTTCTCCGGTAGGGAACTAATAATAACTAGAAACTCATTACTAGTAATGAGAAGGTCTTCCCTTATATTACTTCCTGTTTGCATGAACATGTCTTTTCCAACGTCGGTATTAGCCTAAAACTTATGTAGAAACAAAATAACTTAAAAAATACTTTTTTGCTTCGTTTCCTGTCATGACCAGAAGTAATGACGACACACGATTTTTACACGAAGAAAATGAACTGATGACTGACTATAAGTCCTGAAAGTTTTATACTTCAGTCTGTTACTGTTGCCGAACAATTGTGAGAACAAATTCTAATTTTGAGGACAGGAAAACACACGACCGGAAGTGAACTGAATAAAAATCTCTGAATTTTCTCTTGACTTTTGCAGTATCTACAGCATATGTAAAAAACATTTCAAATACTTATCTATAAGTGATATTTATGAGAAAGTTAAACCACGAAATAACATAGTTTATCTCTTAAAACCGGAAGTTTAAAATTTTTGTTTCCGGTGGAATCTTACAAATTTCAAAACAGCGAAAGGGAAGCAATAAAGTGATGAAAGTTTTAATTTTAAAAAGAAAAGTTGAAATTTTCGATTTCTTCGATCACTTCCTGTGATGACTGGAAGTGACGGCTGACGCTCTTAACCCTATGTGTTTTGCCTTCTCACCAAGTTTTATTACTCCTATAAGTTTGGTGTCTTACTTTCATGCCGTTTCCGAGATCTCGCTGAAATAACTTTTCATTTTGAGGACAAGAAAACACGCGACCAGAAGTGAATTTTTCTAAGATATTTTACGTCACTATTATAGACATCAGCAGTCTCAATAACATATTTAAAAATCATTTAAAGAACTCTATCTATAAGCGATATGTTGGGGAAAATTCAAAACCCCTATTATGTAGTTTCTCTTATAACCGGAAGTTGTCGTTTTTTGTTTCCGGTGGGACCAACACATATCGTAACTGTGAAAAAGATACAATTATATGATGCAAGTCTTATTCCAAAAGAGAAAAGTTGAAATTTTTGATTTCTTTGATCACTTCCTGTGACGACCGGAAGTGACGACTGACACTCTTAACCCAAATGGTTTTGTCTACTCCTCAAGGTCTAAAACTCCTATAAGTTTGGTGTCTAAATCT